AACTGCGGCCGCCGCGGCTCCTCGGCACCGGCCCCGCGGGGGAGGCAGCCGGTTGCGGCGGAGGGAAGGGCGAGCTTGGGGGCAGCGGGGTGATCACCCCCTCAGCCCGGGGGCGTGTTGTTCTCTTCGTTTCCAGAGGTTGCGGGAAATAAGATGCCGGTCCCGGCTTCTGCGCCCGGCGGTGTTTGCGGAGGTGCATGTGCTCCTCGGGGGGCGCGGAGGTGCTGGAGGTGTAGGGGGAGGGGGAAGCTCTGGAACAAGCTGTTCTCCGGCCGCTTTTCTGGCTCCGGGATGCGCGGGAGGCGGGAATGGCCCCGTGGGCAGGTCCTGCGCTTCCCTCTTCCGCAGTGTCCCAGGGCTGGGCTGGGCTCAAGTCAGGCTGATGCTACTCCGCGTTAGGAGTACCGTGACAAATTTAAGGCGATCTCTTCCCTCAGTGGATGTAATCAAAGGTTGGCCTATGATGAGTTAGCCTTTTCGAAAGGTCTCGTGTTTAGTGCTGAAAGTGGATTTTCCTTTGCAGATATACATAAGAGTAGTCGTGTTTGGTCTGCTCTCTAAAAACTGCCAGATTGTTTCAGGAATAGTGAAGTGAGGTAGTGGCCTAACATATTTTGAGTGCTGAGGGGATTCAGGAGTCACAGGTATTGTCTCATTTAACAGTCACTACAGAGGTCTCTTTCATAACCTTAACGGTTCTATTCTTGAGTACTATAAATTTTCAGTATTTGTAACATCCTGTACTAAGGAATTCCTAGTTTAACCTCAAACCCTGAGAAGCAATGCTACCTTTTATTTGTTGCGAATCTCACTCTTTTTGAATTAATTTGATGTCCCTTTGTTCTTTGTTTTTTGTTGGGTTTTTTTTAAGAGCTAATGAATAGTCAGTATCTGTTTACTCTTTATAAACACTTGCGATTCCCATCATATTTACTCTGAGTTATAAAAAGGCTTTAAATGCTTTTGTTCTTTATGTGTACCTTATGCTTGCAACACGTGTCCTGTGCTGGAGTGTGGTGCTCCTTGTGCCAGCATCATTAGCTGTGTGCTCTTTGTTGCAAGCTTATATTTTGATTTTAAAAAGCTTATGTTCTCTTCTGTGTTGGATGTAAAATACATAGCATAAAGGCTCTGTTTGGCCAGTTTGCCAGTATTCAGCAGCACACAAGTTTTTCTATAGGGAGCTTAAGCTAATGAGTCATATTTGGTATTTTAGCTTACTATTTCCATCAAAAAAAGATGCTTTTAAATGTTGTTCTTAGAACGACCTTGACAGAGGTCTTGGAAAAACAATGAAATATGTGGTCTGTAATTAGTCTGAGAAAACTGAATGTGAGGTTTGATTTGCTTTCATGATGAGGCTGTGATTTTTTTTTGAGTACAAGGTGTTTTCAGACAGTTTAGTCTTTCATATAAGGATCCATACCTTTAGAAGGATTTTTTTTTCTTTTTTAACTTTACCATGTCTGTATGTGCAAGTCTGATCGACTGTGCTTAGAGACTCCTTGCTGCTGGTAACTTCTCCCGAATTTTTAGAACTGTTATACTTGATGGAAATGAGACTGGCAAACATTGCAATATTATAGCACGTAAGCCATGGTACAGTATACACTGAGTGCACGCTTTAACTCATCGTATCAAAATCATTTAAAGACACATCTGAAAACTGTTATTGATTGACCGAGTGTATTTTTGGGGGGTTTGTTGGTTTGGTTCCCCCGCCCCGGTGAAATTAGAGGGCAGGGGAGGAGAAATCAAAGAGAATGATCAGTGTGTGTGTGGACTTTTTTCTCGAGGAAAAGTCTTAGATTTTCCCAGTATAGACATTGCCCTTCAACTACAACAGTGGCTTTATTACAACTTTTCTTAAAATAAAGAGCGTTTAGCGTCCCGGTGAATGTCAAATGACAAAAGATGATAGGAAGATAGACTAAGAGTTGGGGTTTTTTTCCACCTCAAATAGGAATCAGGGATGCTTTAACTGGATTTATCACTTCGTCCTGCAATGTGCTTAATATGACTCCTCACAGAACCTAATGTCTGAGGTACTATCTTTTTTTTCTTTTAGCCAACGGTAATGAATAAGGCCGTAGCAGAATCTATAAAAGGTAGGAAGGACATATGTTATTCACTTTTTATGAACTGACTGTCATATTCAGGACTTATGCAAGTTATTTTTGGCACCCAGGAGGTGTGTAGTGGATCTGGGCACAGAACCCTGCAGTCCCAGCTCCTGGTTTTACACTTTTACTGTGCTCACTCGTGAAACGTACCAGGTCAAATACACTGTGAAGGGTACCTGCCTCGATTAATCCATGCTTCTGCATGTGGTTGCAGGAGGAACGTCAAGTTTAATACTCTGCAGCTTTTGATTATGGCAGGATGAATGTCACATTCATATACTGGGGATTCAGATATCTACTGAAGTTCTGGTTTTTAGTTCCTGTATGTCTGTGCAGCTGCACCTTGGTGTGGTGTTATTTCACAGCTGTGCAGCTGTTTCACGAGCTTCTTTCTAATGCCATTTGGAAACATTTATTATCCAATAAACATAATCTTGGATTCATAGAATTTGAGGTCACTGATATTTGTTCACTAATACGATTGCTCTCCTATAAAATCTGGAATATGAGTGCCTGTAGTAAGAATGTTGATGCACTGAGGTTTGTGTGGTTGAGGTGCCCAAATACCTCATGCAGACCACTTCATTTTCACTGTGGTTTCCTAAGAAATACTGCTTAGGTGGTAAAGCTTATATCTGTTTCATCCCTGAAAAAAACCCACTTAAATTGATAAACCAATTTCAGCCTAATTTGACAGGGGTAGAGGTTTTAAAAATATTATATGAAAGGTTTTGGGTGGTTTCGTTTATGTGTTTGAAACGACTTTTTGTGCCAAAAGGGATAAGTCCTTTCTAACATTCACACTGAGGGAACAACCACTGAGAGCTGTGCTCTTATTAGGTGTCAGCAATATGCTCATGGGAGCTGAACCTCCAGCAGAGCTCTGCAGAAAGTGAGCTTCCTTGATTCTGCTGTTCACATGGAGCTCTGGGTGGTGGACTGCATGGTTCCTGCTGTGCAGCTGAAGTCTGGCTTGACTTGTTGATTTTTATTTTTTTTTCCCCCCTCTGCTGCCACTCAGGCTGTTGCTGTGTGTTTTGTTTCTCTTGCAGGTAAATGACAGGACAGAAACCGTGGTGAAAACTTTGAAAGGCACTGAGAAGTCCAAGTAGGTCATTCATTGCTGAAGGGTATTAGGGATGAGGTCTCCTATTTAACTTTTTTACTCTTTCTTGGCATGCATTCTAAAGGTCTGGCACTTGTCCATTCATTTGGCCCTGCCTAAAACAATGGCGAGTAAACTGAGCTGTTGTGGAATAGTAACACAGTCTTGATTAAATTGCTGAGAGCCCCTTTCTCTTCCCTGTCAGGTCTGGTGCCTAAGCTGTGCACGTGAAAAATCTTTTAACTCCTTTGCGTGGGTGAGGATGGTAGGATATACTTAGAACTGCCTTCTCCACCCAATTGTTGAGTTTCTGCCCGATTTCACGTATCAGGCGGACAGAGTGAATCATCTCTGATCTAGTTTTTGTTACTGAAAGAGGAGCAATTAAGTCATTTAGATTTCTTAACTTCTGCTTCTGCTTGCTCCTGATAAAGCAGTATCAAACTTCTGAGCCTGCAAAACAGGGAGGGATGGATCAAAGGTGGTGACTGAACAGAACGACACAGTGTGGTACAGGTGATTTGGGCTGAACTTCTGGTGTGTTTTCTGTTCGTTTTTGGTCAAAATGGGGCCCTGTACAAACTGGAGATACTGAAAACCCGACAGAATTCTGTGAAAATGAGGTTATCAAAGAGCATTATCAAAGGTAAAATCCAGCTAAAAAAGAGGCATCTGGTGTTAACGTAGCAAGGGCAGAGACATATCCTGCTAAGAAGTAGTTCCTCTGCCAAGAATTTTTTGTAGTGCTGGAGTATAAAAAGCATAAATCTAGAAAGCCCCAGAAGAATTCAGGTTCATGTTTCCTCTCAGTTTTCTGTCACTCTTTTCTCCCTTCTCTTGCCAGACAGGAAACTTTTCTTCAGAAGTATTAAAGGGAAGATCCAGAAGTTTTTTTCTCTCCCACAAAAAAATTTTGATGCAACTTTAAATTATTCCGTGATTTCACTTACGATAGCTTTGTGGGGAGGGGGAGTGGAATCCAAATAGTGAATTTCCACAGCAAATATCTGGCTGGGTTATAGGAGAGCAAGCTGTCCGTGTTAACGATACTAGAAAATATGTAATTAGGTCAGAACAGGAGCAGGTCTCCAGATGATGTCTCGACACGTCGATTGAAATCTTGCAGATTCCAGAGGAAGTGCCAGGTGTGCAGGCAGCAAAGGCAGGCTTTGCAGCATCTTCTGAGAAGGAAACTAACCTACACAGGAATGCCAGTTTTCTAATTCAGAGGCACTGATGGGCAAGATAGAAATAAGTCTCATTTATGTATTTTTGCACATTTCTTTTTGGGGTGTTTGGGTTTGTTTGGGGTTATTTTTGTTCGTTGAAAATTATTTTCATTCTGCTATAACTGCTAGAACTCTTAATGTTCTGATGATCTTCCACCTTAACTGTAACGAAAGTACTTTCTCTGGCAGGAGAAAGCACCCGAATTACCTCTCACCACTTTGGACTTTTCATTCACTCCTTTCTCTCCCTAAGTAACCTTTAAACTTGACTTTGAAGCTTGTGCCCAGCTTTCTGTTTCTAAATTCTAAGTCTTGGTTTTGATGTGATGACATGTTAATATGTGTTTTTCTCTTTTTCAGTTCTTGTTACCTGTTGTACGTGGAGCTTTTCTCTCTAAAGTTTTCCCCAACAATTCTTTTGAAGCTCACAAAAAAAAATCCCCAAGCAAACCCTAAACCAATTTTCCTGCTCTTGGTAATGTTTGCTCGTAATTTGGTTTTTCTTCAGCATATATTTGTATTCAGATAGCATGCAGTGGCAAGTTCAAGGGTGTTTGAGAAATAAAAAGAATTTTCCATGCAACTTGAACACCAGTGTCTTGCTATCTTATGAGAATTTTATTGCTAAGCAAATTATTTACAAGAAAAAATAAACAGAGACTTCATATATTTTGAACAAAGCGATTTTCTTAATAGAAAAAGCCTGATGGAGGTAATGTTGTTTGCTTGGTTGTGGCTTAAATTAAAAACCCCTCTGTCTTCCATATGTAAATCTTTAACCAAACTACACCTGCTCACAACATACAGGTTTCTGGAGTGTAGGAGCTTCTTTCTACTCTTTTTTGGATGAAATTATCTAAATTTTGTGTTTCAGTACTAAATAATGTGTATCCTGCCTGGTGTGTGTTTGTTTTTCTGTATTGCATATGCCGCACAATTCCTTTCAGCTAAGACAACCTCCTTTAAAGGAGCCCTGCAGAGAAGCATACTTGAAAGCCTACAAAGCTCTTTAATAGTATTTGTGTAGTTCATACTTAGCCTGATGCTTTGGCATGTTTGCATGGAGTTATTTCCTACTGCAAATGTTGGTTTTCTAAAATCCAAGCCTTAGTCAGGTAATTCAAGATATTAATACTGTGAAAGAGCATTTGTGTTCCAGCTTTTTTTGTTACCTTACTACTTCTCTGAATTGAAAGCTCTAATGACCTCTTAATTAAAGCCCCAACAAAATAATCTTTGGGTAACACACTTTCTTTAGAAACTTTACCTTGGGTTGAGTTAAGCTGTTTCAGCTGCTGATGGTATGGGACAGGCATGGCTTTATAGTTTACCAGTATATGAAACTGCCTGTGTTGTCTTACAATATCGGCGTGATGACCCTCCAGATATCAGTGCTGGGTGTGTGTAGGTAGGGGTGCAATTCTGGGATACCCTGTCTTTCTGTGAAAAGCTCTGGACAGAAATGCATAGAGGTGTAAGCCCTTGGGGGGAGCTCGTGGTTTGTGTTGTAGAGAGATCCGTTTCTAAGTCTTTGCAATTTTTTTATTTTAGAAACTAGGATCTGGGCATATAAAAGGCTTCACGTATCTCATTCACCATTAAACTTTTGTTGCTATAGTTGAGTTTTTATTGCACGTATCCAGCTGACTTAGTTCTGCCATCTCTGTGATGTCACTGGTTATTGACTGATCAAAATAGCTGCCTGTTGCAGAGATAGTTCATTTGGAAAAAAAACATTTGCTCTGGAATTGTTGGTCACCACTAAGGTTTCTGGCACAGCGTCTTCTAGTACTTCAGTGGTTTGAAGTAAATGCAGGAATAAGCTTTAAAACCTGCCCTCTGTGCTGCAGTCCAGTGGTACTTTGGCAGCAACAGCAGCATATGGCGTTCCTCCCCCGTGATTCATTCCCACCACACGCTACCACTGGCTTGGTTGTACCACCACAGTTGGTTGTGGTACTACCTGGTAAACTGGGTGAAACAACTCCTCACTGTTTTTCAGTGTGTGGTCATAGCTGAGGAGGTGGTGAGCTACCTGGGCGGGAAGGGGAAACAGGGTTGGGAAATTCTGAGGGCGGCCTGGCTGCTGGAGAGAGCGTGGCACTGTCTCAAAGCAGGCAGTGATCTGCCCCGCAGGGAGAGCAGCTGTGGAGACTAGGGTGGTGAGTCACAGTTACATCTTCAGGTAGAACAGTGTTACAGAATTAAAATACATGTCTTTTCTGTCACTGTTTGCTTGTGGCACTTAGCCCCTTTGTGTTCAGAAACATTATGTTGTATCGATGCTGCCAGTAACAGTGTTCAACCTCTGTTAATAATAATGCTAAAAATGTTTCATTTGTAATGTTTTAAGTAATTTTGTATTAAAAGGGGTTTCAACTTTGGGGTTTACAAAATGCAAGAAGTGTTTCTAAGCCTCTAATTTGACAGAATTTACCTATTTTTTCTCTCTCTCTCTCTTTTTTTTTTTTTTTCCCCCCCTAGCCCTGTTAAATGAAAATCTTGGTGCAACTGTTCTGGAATAACATATGCAGTCCTGCTTTCAGCTTTTGCTGGTCAGTGCTGTTTTCATTTTACTGATTACCTTTACAATATGCAGTTGCATACACATCTCTCCTTACATTTGTCTGGAGCCTTGAAATGGGATGACTTCTTTTTTTGATGTATGATGAAACTCACATGTATGCTTTTCTGCCAAAGCTCAAAAGTACTTGCCAGACTTCAGGTGATTCATGTTGTTTTAGGAATGTAATTTCTGCCATTTTCAACAAGGGTAAACTGCTACTGCATGCTCCTCCTGCTTGTTTTCCTCCAACTTCTTCCCCTCCAATGTCCTGCTGGGTCTTTCTGGAGCAAGGTTTCTGCGCTGCTTCCCAGTACTGATTGGTTTTCAGCAGTGTGTATGTACATACATTGGCACTCCCTTAAGCACTGTATGGTGTAGTGGCCACAGTTGATAATACTCCAGTTGCAGCTTTGTGCCAAAGCTCGAGGTAGTCTATTTTCACTTAGTACAGAAGAATCTTGTGTGCTCCCAGTGGGAATACAGCAGTATGTGGATACAGATAAAGACTGTCAAAAAGGACAAAGCTGAGACTTAAATGCTAATGAGTTGCTGATTTTGTTTGGATGGTCCCGAAGAGGAGTTTGGAGGGAGGGGGTTTAATGACTTTTAGGAGCGAAGTACTTCACTATTGCTCATTTTCCTGTTGTTCTCTTTGCTGTTTTGATGGTGTCAGAGCTGTGATCTTTCTGGAATATGCAATGTAGCTCCTCCCACTATTTGTTTCTTCTGGTTTGAAGCAGCATATTTGCTGCTGGTTGCAAGTTGAGGATTACTGATAGTACCTCAAAGGCATTTGGGTGAGAAGGCAGATGCAAGTTCCTTCTTGTTCAGGCTAGCAGTGGAAGCTCCAGTGTACAACAAATGTACAGCAAATAACTGCTTTTCAAAGTTCCTGCTGTTCATCTTATGAAAGTTTAGAATTAATTCCACTTTAGGCTATATCCATTTGATTATCAAACCTTCTTTGCATATCAGGAAAAGTACAGGGAGGCCTTTAAGTATCATATATCTCTTGTAACAATTCCCCAGTCTGCCTAGGAAGGCTGTTTGCTGATCTTTTACAGCATGTATTTTTCTAATGGTCAGTCTAAGCTTGCTTTATTGTAGCTCAAGCCTATTAAGTTCTGCTTGTTCTGTCACTGATTAGTGAGAATAATCTGTTCTTGGCTTCTTTAGAAAAATTCTTTATGTATTCTAATCTGGGTACTATGGTTAGTTATATTTCAAAGAACAGCTTTTCTTGAACATGTTACTTTCTGAACCTTTCATCTGGTGTCCTCCAAGTAATGCAGTTTCTCAAGGTCCGATTGGTCCCGAGTTGAGTGAATTACTATAGTAAACAGTAGCAGTGCAGCCCAGCAATAGGTATCTTGGTTTATTATATAATTTTTGGTCCTTTCTTTGTGGTAAACTGTTTAGGCAGTAGGCCAAGTAGACAAGAATTGTAAATTTTGGAGGGTGTGTATCTACAGAGGAGTGTGTGTGAACCTACAAGTGACAGAGTATCTTGTTACTATGTTTGAGGTCACGATCCCTTTCCACTTGCAGGTACCTCTAAGGACTTGTCCCTCTGCCTGTGGGAAACTGTCTGGCAGTAAGGCAAGACTGTGGGAATTTGGCTAATTTGTACTTACGTGGTTGGAATGCTGCCAGTTGTCACTGAGCTCTCAACTCATTGCATCTCCATTTCACTATTGTGAGCTCTTCATAATGGCTTCTGAGACACTGAGTGTGTCTAGCTGTGATAAGAAATAGTTAGCAATATTAAAAACACTTGCTAAAGCTTATTTTTAAAATGATGATCACTGAGTGTGCTTTTCCTAACTTTTTTTTTTTCTTGCTTTGTGCAGGACTTTGTTTCTGGGTGAAGAATGCAGACTATCAAGTGCGTAGTTGTTGGAGATGGTGCTGTGGGAAAAACTTGCCTTCTCATCAGCTATACCACCAATGCCTTCCCAGAAGAGTACATCCCTACTGTGTTTGACAACTACAGTGCCCAAATGACTGTTGATGGCCGGACAGTTAGCCTCAATCTCTGGGACACTGCAGGCCAGGAGGAATATGACCGCCTGCGCACGCTCTCGTATCCTCAAACCAATGTATTCGTCATCTGTTTCTCCATTGGTAGTCCCTCTTCCTATGCAAATGTGAGGCACAAATGGCATCCTGAAGTTTCTCACCACTGTCCGAATGTTCCCATTCTTTTAGTGGGCACAAAGAGAGACTTGAGAAATGACCTGGAAACAGTTAAAAAGTTGAAAGAGCAAAGCTTGGCTCCCACTACCCCACAGCAGGGGACTTCGCTGGCTAAACAAATCGGAGCAGTCAAATATTTGGAGTGCTCAGCGTTGAATCAGGAGGGTGTTCGGGAGGTGTTTGCTGAAGCTGTGCGTGCAGTTCTGTATCCTGTGACAAAGAAGAACACAAGAAAATGTGTCCTATTGTAGTTACCTTGGGTGATGGATGTTTGAAGCTGAATATTGACTAGAATCTTGGAGGGCTCTTGAATGATGAGTTAAATTGAAGATTTGCATCTTGCACTAACAGCTGTAAGCAGAAATGGTTTATACAACGAATATTCTTGCAGTCTTATTGCTTCAGGGAAACTGAAACAGAACAGTTTTTCTTTCCAACTGAGAGGTCAAATATCTACTTTATTTCTAAAGTTCCAGTCTCCAGCTTCTCCAGGGATCACTTGACTTCTGTCCTTATTTAGTTGAGGAAAATAAAAGAAGGGACTTCTCTGAAGCCAGACTTCTTTACTAGATAGCCATCAGTTACTAGATTTGCTGAAAAGCACAAATTCTGATAATTTTGCTTTAAGCGTAGCTGCTGCTTTTTCCATCCCTTATTTACTGATTGAATTTGTTTTACAAATAGAAGTCTGGCTGTCCAGTTGTTTTAATTTGTCAATTTAAAGCTTGAAAACAATTTGTTTACATGCAAAAATGCCTGAAATATCACTGAGATTCACCTTATAGTGAATTGTGATAGTTTATATGAAGAGTTCGCATAAGGTGTGTTTAATGCAATGAGCAAGACCCAGGGAACACCTGCAATGATTTTATTAATAGAAGCAGGAGCTCATTTCTCCTAATGTAAAGAACTTAGGATAATGATGAATCACTCAAATGGGTGATTTTCATACTTTGGAATTGAAGAGGTGGAAGAGTAGTTTAGGTGCAAGTCTTCCCTAATCTTCTAAACTGAGTTTTTATTTCACTCTCCAGAGAGACTTTTCATCCTGAGAATAAATCTAACAGTTACCTTCTTGGACTGACTGAGGTAGTTGGGGTGACACTTCTCAAACCGAGATTTTTTTCAGTGTGATCCCTTTGATGAATCCCAGAGACTTGATAGCAGCTCGTTTGCTCTTGAGGAATTAATTGCTTCACTTCTTAATGTTCTTGGGGCTACCACCTGAGATTTGTACAGCAAATTCCTTTCTTGTTTTTTCTGGGAGAACACTGACAGAAAATTTGGAGGTTCTGTTTACAGGAGCCCTCGTTTCTTCCTGACAATTCACTGATGGTTTCAGTTAAATTTATAATAATTAGCCAGTCACTGGATAGGTTTACCTGGGCAGTTTTCTCCTTTCTACTAGGTGATCAGTTATTATAAACTCTTTTAACTTAAGTTCTATTTACATACTCTTTAACTTTCTTTAGCAGCTCTAGTGAGTGGCAGCTGGCTTTTATTTTCAGGATGTGCACTGTTCTTTATGTGTGATTCTGGAACCAGCTGAGGAGTGAGCGCATGAAACCTTCCTTAGACTTAACCTTGCAGCTTGGTGGTATGAAAGCAGCATGCTTCAAAGATACTTTGTGTGAAACCAATGGTGCTGGACTGGGCTTTGTTGTCTGAAGTTGACAGTGCTGTCTTTGTCCGGATGCAGCCTCAATTGGTAATTCAGAACTTGCTTTCTTGTGATTCCCACACAGACAAAACTGCACTGGTGTATACCCTGGGCAGAAAAAAAGCCTCATTTTAGCAAGATGACAGAAGATACATCAACAAGGTTATTAGGGATCTTGTGTTAATTTGACCTTGCTTTATCTGATATGGGCAAAAATACCAGGTGGATAGAAACATTTTTATTTGTGCCCTAATTCCCCTCTTTGAAGAGGATGTGCCTTTCTTCAGCTGATGTAACTGATGCTGACACTAACTGCAATTTATGTATATCTGAGGTATGCTTGTACTGGTACTGCTTTAGCAAACTGCAACCCATAGATTATAAACTTCAGTTAATCCAAATACTGGTATATGTGGCCAGTGAGCCAACAATGAGTTCCAAACATTGCCTGATTGCAGGCACCACCAAAACACCCATTATACATGATGTTTGCAGAAGCCTAGAGACTCTGCTTATTTTTCTTCACCAAGTGCCATTGCCTGGAGTGTCTTTGCATCTTTTGCACGCATAGAAGTGCAGTGCCAGATGTGGCTCCTACCGCAGTTCCCTGCAGGCTGTGAGGGTGTAGGAGTATTTCAGTGAGGTAACCTCTACTCACCATGTTCTGCCTTTACTTTAGTAGTAGGCCTTTAGGGTGGGCTTGACTTGCAGGCACCAATTAACTCTGTGCCTTGTAATTCAAGATTATTTTCTGTAGGTAAATTTCAGTAACTGAGTAAATAGAGTTTATAATGTTTAAAATGTATTTATTTAAGCCAGTGCACATGGTTTTTATAATGCTGATCAGGCCTGAATCAACTGTCTAGTTGCCCTGGTGCAAGCCCATAACCTTTGCTTCATTCAGAGATGTACTTTAAAAAGTTTGTGATATGTTTGAACTGCTCTTAAATAGACTTAATTTCAACAACAGGCACCTCTTAAATTTTTTTTTTTTTTGCTACATATATTTGCAATTTTGTACTGAAGCTACTACTGTTTTTAAAAGTTTTTACTTTTTTATGTACTGAAATCTTTTAGTTCTGCATCTTTTGTGGTTATTCCTAACTGGATTACAGTAATATGTGCAGAAGAAATCCTGTGCACAAGTATTATTGCACACCCCTCCCCGTTTCTCTAGGCTCGCAGAACAGCCATCCTGGTGTTAACTGGAAGAGAGTATGGTGGGATAATATTAAACTACTTCAACAATTTATTTGAATTGATTACATTATGCTAGAACACTTTATCCCTATCTAGATTGCTTAATAAATGGATTGCACAACAGTACTGAGGAGAATAACTGATAGTGATGAAAATGAGCAGAAAGTGAACTTTGAACACCGTCAAAAATTTTTTACTGACTTTGGAGTACCTCGTTAATAGCCATGTAGATGCCTTGTATTTCTGTTGCTTTCTGCCAGGAGCAAAAGTCCTTCTGGCTGACATCTGGTTTCTTCCACCCTCTGCTTTTCATGAGAATGAGCTTCAGGAGTGCACAGATCCAATGAGCTTTTCCATTCAGTGGGCATTCTGAGTGTGATCTTCCTTTTTTTTCCCCCCATACAATTCTTGGTGTATTTTTTTTGTAAGTAGTCCAGTGCTTCAGTCTACAATCCATTCCGTTCCTCCCACACTTTTATTTTTTTTTCCTGTGGGCAGGTAGCAAATACAGACTTCACACAGTCTCACAGCTGAATTTTGTCTGTTTTCAGGAGATCGGAAAACCCGGGTTAAGCTGTGCGGGTTTCTCGAACTGTTCAAGATTCCTCAGTTTGTTACTGAATAGAAATGCAGTGTGTATGTCTTAATTCACAAAAGAGACTCGCTGTGAAGGAATCGAGTTTATTCTTTCAGTTTGTGAATGATTTCTGAAATACTTAAGTGTTTTTTTAAATACAGCTGAAGCCATCCACAGGGAGCTGAGCAGTTCAGGAATTCTGTGTCCAAAGGATGTTATGAGGCGCGCTTAGATGTAGAAGTGCTTTCTCCAGTTTACGACTGTAGCTATTTCTATGAAATTTAAACTAGAAGAGCCTCACCGTGCTTCGTCTCCGAGTGCTAAGCCTTGCTCTGTAAAAACCTCGGTGCTGCTTGGGCTAACCCCAAGAAGCGGATGGACCTGATGGGGGTCCCGACCCCCCGCCTGGGCTGCGAGGAGCGCCCGTCAGCAGTGGGAGCCCAAGACTCTTTAAGTGTGGTACTGATACATACACTGGCAACTTGATTTTATACTATAAAATAATTTGTATTACAGCTAACAGTTTTAAAGGATTTTTTTTTTTTTTTAAATTATGCGGAATTAAGTTGTAATAAACCTTTCCTCATCTCTCTGGCTCTCGTATTAACTCGCCCTGCTGTTTGTAACGCACCTGTTCTAAACGTAGTTCTTTCCTGTGGAAAGCCAGGCCCCGTTTCTTAAATGCAATAAACGATGTTTCGGTGATCGCCGGAGCCTCCGTGCTTCTCTGGGACGCGGCGGGGCGCGGCCGCTCTCCGCCAGCCCGGGGGGGCGGC